TTTACAAACTTTTTGTTCAAGTTGTTAACGAATCACAGCAGTTAAGTGCGTCACTTGTTGTTAAACAAAGTCAACTCTCTCCCATTGACTTTTCTTGTCAGAAGCCAGCTAGGAAGGTCACAAATGGTGATTACATGAATCCAGGACATTGTAAACGTAGTAAATGCATGCTGGTTGCCAAATGCCCACATTTTGATTACATGACTGACAAGATACTGTGATGGTCATGTGAGGATTTGTCACACGTGACTTTTTTTCAGTGCCATCACTTTGAACGGTCACTAAACAAATTATTATAAGCTGAAGACTACCTGTAGAGTCTGTTTTTTTAATTGGTTGATATTTAAATTGCACAAATTGAGTTACTTTGTGTGCATTAATGCAACCTTTCCCAATTTATCACTCTCCAGATGCGTTACGATTGCTCACAAAACATATTGGAGAATTATGTGACTTGCTCTCAGTGTAATTGGAGCCTATAAGATTGGGAAATTTATTATTTTCTCTTGTTGCCGACTAACAGTTTAATGCTCTGATTGTGTGAGCTTCCCAATAATTCTTATACACTAATGTTAGGGTTACATTATATAATTTATTTTTATAAAACTTTCAGAAATATTAGTAATTTGAACATGTATAATTTGATAATTTGGATGTTAAACTCTTATTATTCTTTTGTACATTTAATTAACATTAGATTATGGATTAGTTAAAATAGAACAATTGTTTTTTTTCCTTTTATTGCCTTACAAAACAAAAGGAAATGTAAAACTACTCCATTACAGAATATTATGACCACGGCCTGGAAAAAGACCTGACATTTCTTAGAGAAGTACATTAATTTATTATATGTCAACACTAGTTCAATCAAAAACTTCTAATTTTAGATTTAATACACACATTGGCCTACTCACACTTTCATCAGCAAATATATTTTCTAATGTTGACAACTCATTTAATAAGTTGCCATGGTGAGAACAAGTTACTTAATTAATTTTGTGAGTTTAAAAAGTGCAGTGTATTTTAAATAATCTGTGTGAGTTGACCTTGAAAGGAACATTATTTAAATTTAAGCACTACTCATAATTTGCTGAAAAGAGTTTTCAGTTGATTTTAAATCCAGACCTTCAAGATAGTAACTCAGTTTGCTTTTAAACATGCAGAGCTATCTTCATATGACTTTTATGTTTGCCAGCTAAAAGACAGTGCTGAGAGTTGTAGAAAAGTGTATATCAATGCTTTGATTGTGACCAAGTGTGTCACTGAGGAACTGCAGAAGTTAACAATTGGAAATGAATGTCCAGTCATAATTATATCAAGGAACATATATCAAATGACAAGATCTATCCATGTACAGTATATGCTTCATGATTTTTCTCTTCATAGTTAAACCCACTTTCCTGGAGGAGCAGATAGCCATTGTGGCTAGGGGAGCCTTTGCACTGGTTCATCTTGTGCACTAATTGTACCCTTTCTTCACTGGGAGAGCTTACTCACCATCCCTCACACCTTAGTTATGTTTTGACTAAATTATTGTAACATGCTTTACGTGGTGTCTGCGTTTGAAAACTACCTGAAAGTTACAACAAGATCAGCATGCAGTGATGCATACAGTTCTAAGCACTTCGCACTTTGCCCATGTTACACCGCTGCTGTGAGAACTGCACTGGCTTCCAGTTGCTTTCTGGATGCAATTCAAGGTGCTGGTTACTACCTTTAAAGCCCTATATGCTATGAATCCTGGTTATTTGCAGGACTGCATCTTGCAGATATATTGGCTGCGATTCACGTTCCCTTAAATTTTGCCACCTGATGGGGCTTTGGAGATGCACCTTCCCTGTGTTGACCCAAACCTTTGGAACAGCCTTCCCCCTAAGATTCAGAGGGCTTCCACCTCTCACCCACAGACCCAGCTCTTCACTCAGGCATTGGGCTAGAATGAAAGTGAACTATGTAAATTTAAAATCAATAAGGGGTGAGGTAAGATATGGTGAACCAATGGTGTCTTCATGAGAGTGATGGTGATACTTTAAATGTCAGTTGTTGGAGACCATGGAATATAAGCGTAACCCTCCTATATGCTTAGATACTTGGATCCTGCTTTCAAATACATTGTTTAGCTAATTGCAAGACTCATTTGGTTGGGAAGATTTTTCTACAATGGATACAAATCTTAGTAGCCTTTGGTTGTCATTTTTGTTACTGTTTCTTCAGTTTAGAAATGGTTAGTATCTTGTTTCTAAGATAAACCTGGTCTGTGTAAATGTGGCAGAAGCATGTTTGAAATTGATATACATTATTGGGACAATTTCATGTTCTCATCAGTTTCACACTGACTCCCTTGCCACACTCCTACAAGTTTATCCTGATCTTTCTGGTAATAATTACTCATTAGCAATTGGCAGTTATTTTTGATTTTGAAAATTTAGGTAAAAATATTCCTCATAATTGTTTAGTATCATCCCCACATGTAAAAATGAGTGGATATCTTGAATATTTCACTGATAGATTGCAATGATTAACTGACTTGATTTTTCTATAATAAGGGAAATGTGATGACTTAAATAGTCCTTCCAAATCTATCACAATACTGAGTTTGTAAAAGTTACATACCAAAATCTCAGCAGTCTTTTGTATTTCTCTAAAACCTTATTTATCCTTTTTTCTTTTTATATTTTCCTTATTTTAATTACAGAATACTAAAAGATTTTGATTTTGGTCTTTGAGGGGAGTAAAATAAAGCCTAAGATTCAGGAGGAACAGATTTGGGTTCATTGGTTCTTCTTTTGGTGGTTTTAAAATACATATATGAGATTGTCAATAGATAATTATGCATGATTTCATTGAAAATGAGATGATAAAAATAACAGTGGTTCAGCTGAGTACATTTGATACTTACAACTTATTAATTATTATTCAAGGGTTGCTAAGGTACTTCTACTCTTCCCTTTATAAAATTTCTACAGGGATATGGAAATTATTTAGTTTTACAGCTGGGTGGTTTATTATTTGAATAGTTGAAAGTATAATTCTGCCATTTTACCCACTGAACTGAAACACATATTGTTAGTGACTATGTTTCCCCCCCAGTTAAAATGGAGTAGCTTGTATCTACAGAACTGGAACAAGCTATTAATGCAAATTATATCTTGAGAAGATTAAATACAAATAATAATGAGTTTAAAATCCAGTGTTGGCTAAGAAAGACTTGGCAGATACAAGAATATGGATTGGTCAGCTGTCCAGTTCCTGGGTCTCTTGGAACTTATTTCAAACTTTTACTAGCCACATATCAAAAGGGACAAAAGTCCAAAATAGATATCCCTTGTTCTATTTCCAAATCTTTGAGAAACATGACTGGAAGTTATAATAACATTGATGAGTGTGGGACTTTCATATTTGAACTAATATCCAACCATAAACTCATAGTGGCAATTGTATGCAAGTGATTAAAAAAAATATTGTGATCTCATTCCTTCTGTATCACAAAATGTTCGGGAATGTGGAAGAAAGAGCTGAAGTATTGTGACCTAACGTTCAGAGGTTTTAGTGTTTTTTAGTAAGATAATTAATCAAGTGAATAATTTATATTCCTTATGATTTCTTTCTGGGGAGATGGGAAAACTTTAGTCCTAAGCTTCTTTTTGTATTCTATCACAATAGTGAAGAGCGTTTCATCTAAGAATATCTATTTTGATTCATTTGTCAAAAATGGAAGATAACTGCATTGACACCAGTGTAATAACTACCGTAAATGCTGGCGTACAAGGCGACCCGACGTATAAGACGACCCCCGTCTTTATAGCCGGGCCGATTCCTAGAACGTCGTCTTATACGCCGGAAACTACCAGTATTTCCGGCGTATAAGACGACTCGGCGTATAAGACGACCCCCGTCTTTGGCGCCGATTTCAGCGCTCACGGAAGTCGCCTTATACGCTGGCATTTACAGTAGTGTTTTTCCTCATTAGAGATGGGGTATATTAAATGTTAAGGTTTTTAATTGAATTCAGATCTGAATTACTTCTCATGCCATTTTGAAAAATGATACAAAAAGTATGAGCAATTTTACTTTAGCAATATGTAAAGACAAGTGTTTATATTGTGAAAATTAGATGAATAATAGCTAATAATTTAATTTTAGAAACATATAAAGATTTCTATTTTTATAGTTCAGCCTTATGCTATATTAGTGAAATGCTTTTAATATTCAGTCTCTTGTAAGGCCTTTACTTCCACAGTATGTCTACATTGTTAGTATGTATAACTGAAATTTAAGTCTCCTAATATAGGCTGAGAGTTAGTTATCTTTATTGAAGGCATTAATATTATTCAGATTAGTTTGTACAGCTAAAAAAATAACCCTGGAAGACACCTAGATAGAATCTAAAGTAGATTGCAAGGAAATTAATCTGTAAGCACTTTGAAAAATACGTTAATTATCATAAACCAGCATGGATTTGTTGAGACCAGGTCTTGCCAAACTAACCTTAACTCACGTTTTGATTGGATAATTTGCTCAATAGATTGTGGGGAAGCCATAGACACAACATTTCACAAAGTACTAATGATTAGCAAGCTAATTAGATGTAAACTAGGTGACTTAATTATTAAGTAGATACATAGCTGGCTTGAAAATCATGCCCCCAAAATGCTCATTGGTTATTCCTTATCAAATTGGAAAGAGATGTATCAAATGGGATCCACAGAAATCAGTCCTAGATGTTTACTCTTCAGTATTTTAAT